TTAAGAAATTTGGTTGAAAGTATGCCGAGAAGAGTACAAGCTGTAATTGATGCTAATGGGTATCCAACCCGATATTAGTTATATGTATAAAAAGCCCTACTTTTACTGAATAAAATGATATATTTTTTATTGTAATATATTTATGAAGAGGTCGAGTAATATAAAATTAAAGTATCACAAATTTCACGATCTACATTGCTGATCATTTCCCGATTGCAGACTTTTGACCACCGAGTGTACAATGTTTTTAGCACAATGTTTGGTGTACACACAGTACACTATTTCGACCACTATGTAAATAGAATTATTCTTTGTAGCCATCATAAAGGTATATATAGCGCTATTGAACTTCAGGTTTGCGCTTTTACCGGAAGAAAGCGTAAATTTCTTTGTAGAGTATCCTAGCCGTAAAGAGACTTCGATTCGATCATACATCTTGTGATTCTGTGAAAGTGACCGTAGTCCTTAAAATTTAGTCCATAGTCGTGTAAGCATTACCCAAATTATTCTTTATAGTAAATAAACTTACCTTTGCCGCCCACAGTAACTGTAGTTACTGGCACAAAACCTTTAGAACATTGTCAAGAAGCCCGCCAATAACGAATTAACATAGTCTAAATTTCTCACAAACCTGTTTAGCCTGTCCATCTTTGAAATACAATAGACCGGATAGGTGTAACTAGTGATGGGCAAAACCATACTATACATACTATTATACATACTCATACATTGCTTATTGTATGTATAGTCCGAGCGCATTTGAGCGTATAGTCATCAACCGAGCGCATAATGATGTTCTAAATGCCATATAGCAATAGATCACCATTAATTAAGGTCATTGCATACATGCACTTTGTTGAGTAAATAATAGTTAACTTGCATAGATAAATAAATTGCTTCAATATTACTTATTCATACCTTCGTATAAATTACAAAATGTCTCCTCGAGGTACTATATGGGAACATTTTAAACAAATTGGTCATGTTGCTGGATTTAACAACAACGAGCAGAATGTAATTACTGTGAAAATCCCAAGTATCAATGTGTTTAATGAAAGTGACGAAAGTGATGTAGAAAGAAATATAAAACAGAGCATAATAATAGTGAACAAGAACTTTGATATGTCAGATAATAGCGATGAAGTATTAGAGACTTCAAGTAAATAGTGGTAATAGCGATAGTCATGCTATTAAATAATGTTAATTATGTATATCAATATATCTATATCACTATACAAGTATACTATACATACTATACATATAGTGCGTATAGTATGTATAGTGAAGTGTATTTTTCCATCACTAGGTGCAACAATATTCATTATTAGATGCATAACTGATGTTAAGGAAAAAAGTTACATGTATAATATTTCAAATAACATATTTAAATAGATAAAATGTTAATTTTATATTTACAATGAACAATACGTACGTTGCGGGTATTTTAGCGAAGGATGTGTATTGTAACGAATTCACATTATCTCGATAATATTATGCATATAAAAATGTCATTAGCAAAATAATGTGACATTGACTTGATAATATACATTTTCGTCAAAATACCCATCTTTGTCATATTAACCCCCATCTCCTTACATTTTATTAATCAATGCACAGATATGTAAACGCAAATTTGCGCATACAGCTGTATTTATCTCGTCTAACAGATTGCGCATTTCTTATTAAAATCATGACAATTAATGATGTGCTAATAAAATACTAAACCTTGTTACAATTTTATATCTCATTGAGTCACAATAGAGCAAAATATTTATTTCGTTAGTATACAGTATGGATGATATAATCTTAAAGCTATCGAGTAAAACATCATTTATTGACATATTATTTACCGAAAACGATATAAAAATAAAAATAGGGTAGTTTGCCGAATGCCGCCTCTGAAAACTTACAACATAATCTCTATTACGTATCAAAGTTTGTCGCAACTTACCAGAGATTTTTTGATACTCGTAACTTCCAGAAAATTTATGTGGAACCGCGGTCAACAAGTAATCGCATTGGCAAATGCGTTATGTTGATATAAAGGTAATGACACAAACAAGCCGATTTGTGGGAAGTTCAAGAAAAAAGAACGTTTGCCGAGTAACATTTCGTAAACATTTGAGCGAACATACAGTTAGTTCATCTGATTGAATAACTTATCTGGTATCATCTAGTAATTTCTGATATATCTCGTATCAACGATCATATAGGTTGGAGTGTCTTCGACATTTATGATACGATAGTACTGTCAGCGTCTTCTGTTCTGTCCTCCGATTCTCAATTTATATAAGAGGTTACTTCTGTTTTCTAAGTAATTTCTCTTTCTTCTTCGTCAAATTTTCACGATTCTAATACTTCACTTATTTCTTCTTCCTCAAGCTTCAAGATTCCTTCGTCAGAATCTTCAAAGTACATTAAGTCGTTCTTTGTTCGACTAACAAAGATTTTAACAGGATCTTTGATATCATTATCCGAATCTTCTTTCAATTCCAATATGCTGATTTCTTCTAATTTATCATGAAGTTTTGTGGTGATTAACATTACCGTAGCTTTCTTTTGATTTTCTCGATATAACCAGATCAGAATATTTTCATTGATCTTCTTAATATGTCAGATTCATTTTGCTTTGTTGATTTTCTTGATTTTTTATTTTTCCTGGTTTTTCGCAGGTATAATCATCAAGATTAGGGATTAGGCTAGTCCTAGAGTCTCATCAAATCTGTTACTTGGACGGCAATTATATACAATCAGATTTTTTCCTGAAGGTCAAATATAATTTTTGCACTAATTGTTCTTTAGACAACAAATCTCTAGGATCAGTTCGATTCCAAAGCTCTACCATCACCGCGAAATAATCCTCAGATAATTTGTTATTTTGTTGCTTCTGTCTATCTAACTTCTGTTTTCAATGTAGCTTTCTAAAAGTGATGTAAAATTTGCGACGAAAGTTAGGTACAAATAAGATAGTATCTCCATTATTTCAGTTGGAGATTTTTATGATTGATTCTCGTTGTCATTCCTGTAACCAATTATGTGCGAGTTTCTTTAGGCAAGACGTAATTATTTGTACCCTTCTTGACATATCAATGTTTATTTGTCCTGCAAATGACTTCAAATCCTTCAACCATTATATGGGATCACTTTCTTCCTTACTGTCAAAGATTGAAAACTTCACATAGTGAGATTCCTTAGCTCTTTTCTGCTTATATTTTCCATGGCAAGTGTCAATATGCTTACCAATCTTGTATCTTGTTCCGGTAGGTTTTCCGTCAATTCTGATTCAATTTCTTCATTATTGATCAGGATTTATTTCTCAGATTCATATTCAGTTTATTCTTCTGTTTTTCATTTGGTTGAGGTTCCCGGGAGATAAATGGGGATGACATCCTGAATTAGCATAGTTTTGATTAATGGTTACTTTAAAATTTCTTGATTTTATCTTGATTTTAGTGGTATTTCGTATCTTTCTGATTTCCTATTCCTGTCGGACCAAGAAAATTAGAATTATTTTCATCAGGGATCTACCGAATAATCTGGAGACTGTATATTTTCTGAAGTGATCTTGACATCCTGAACTTCTTCCGAGTTCACTAGATCTCACCAATGGAAGATGTGTTTGCTTTGTTTTGCATGTGAGCTTGATAGCTGAGAGCACTTCTTTATAGTTTGCAGAATTCTAAGATGATTCTTCTTGATCATCTATAAACCAGCTAAATCAACCAGTGTGTAATTTACCCTGAAGTGATGAGTATCAACTTCTTGTGATTTCAATCAATACTATAGCATGAATTAATCACAATAATAACGATTTTAATTATTTTAATGAGAGTTTTCAAGAAAATAAAGGCTATTTATAGATAATGTTATTATTAAGAATTATCCATATTAATAAAGCTATCTTAAAATACATTCAAAAAAGGGTCCTTTTAATAAAAATTTTTGCGCAGTGAAACACACTTTGATTCACCTTGCCACTATTGTTGTTCTACATCCAATTCACGCTATTACTCTACTGTGACTCCTTCTTAGCTCTGATCTCGTCCCGTTCCTTTCCGTTCCGATACTATCTTATTAGTCACCCATTAGCTTCCATCAGCTTCGGATGACAATAACGAGACATATATTGTAGATGACCTGATCCCGGGTAACACAGCCATGACCCAGTATTCATTGACGCGGCTCTTGTGACACCACGTGAGATTGATACCGAATATGCAATGGTGTATCACTGTATCACCATATATAAATAATTTACAAAATGTACTTCTGCATTTTATATTTACATGTACATATATTTGTATGTGCGTCATTTCATCATCAAACTTAATATATTTACTACAGTATCGGTATGTGATTTTTGAACCTACCTTTATCGTTATTATAGAAGATCACTACATATATTTTATTTACTCATAAAAATATATGTTTGTTATTTGATAGAACTTGTAAGGTTTTATGAGATTATGCTTTTTCAATCAATTGATTAATAACATGGAAGCAGAAAAATCAAAATCTAATGGAATAGACTTTAAAATAAACGATGCATATTTAAGCCAATTTTGCATTTTGTAAAGTTTGTGGGTAAGTAAAAGAAAAGTCATAAGGCAAAAAATAATAATATATTTTTATAATTAACAGGTTTTTTGAACATATAAATTATTTTCCAAATCAATAAAATTGTCTTTATTTATTGCTTTCCAATTTGGCTATTCGTTTATCAAATATTTTTTTTGTTCTCACAATTTTATGGTTTTCATTGAAGATAGTTAATAGAAATACCATCCAAAAACATCGAAAAATAAAAATATTTCAGGTATATTTTAATATATCAATATAATAATATATTATAAGAATCTGTGGAATTTCAAGATTATAAATAGCTATTTGTTGACTATAATTACTTTTAAAGCATGATTATCTCGTAAAAGATGAATCTTTCGGATCGAATAACTTGATAATCTATAATTTAAAATGTATTTGTTTATAATTTAATATATGCTGATTGCATATGGCTACAGATTTATAGGCAGGGATTTACATATAAAAACAACTAGTCAAATATCATAGAATTAGGATACTCTAGAAATTTTGGTGATTAGATAGTTATATACATATGAATATATGTGTAATACGAATATGGTTGTTTAATGCTGCGTTTTGTTGAATAAAACTTGTTATCAACTTTGGCGTTTACATAATCTTATTAAGTTATTTGACGAAAGTTAACAAATATACATGCAGATAAACATATTTTATAAAATGGAAAAATTAATAAACTTTTATGAGCCATCTAATGCAATTATTTTACTAATGAGAAACTTTATAACGTTATTTTTATTAATTGATGAAAATGCATGTAATAAAAGCTGCTCAATATTCGATTTCACAGTATTTTCTATTTTCTATCCATAGATAATAAAGTGACGACAATTAATATGTTGATAAAGAAATACATATAGGAATGGTTTTGAATTTAATATACTGTAGAAACATGCACTCAACGGAAGAAAGTCACCGGACACTTTACTTATTTAGCAATTACTATATGTGATAGCCAATATTTGAATTTCTTGTTGGCCTACACTAATTTTAATATATTTCTGAATATTTAGACATATTTTTGATTGATTTCCTTAGAAATTGCCTTGCATTTCTTTTTAATTCTGTGTAAAATTTGGGAAGTTTTCAAACCAATTTCTTGACACATTGTTATAATAAACTGATTTGGTGATGGTGGGAGTAAATTTGGTGAGTTTTGATCTCTTTCTGGGAGATCCTGATTTTTATATAACCAGCCATATGAGCTGCACATTATTTTGTTGAAGAAAATAATGGAAATGAGGTTGAATTCATGGTAATAAAATCATCAACAGACTTTGAAAGTTGCTTACAATTGATTGTTAAAGATTGATTGCCGACTTGAAAATCGCCATCTTAAAATTCATCGGTTATTTCGGAACGCAATATTTCGGCATCCAATGGTCCAATACGTACGATTTTTATACCATCTGATCCATCAAGACAAGATAAATAAAATGATAATAAAAACACATGTTTTGGACCCTGGATACCGAGATATCGCGTCCCGAAGTAACCGATGAAAAAATGATGATCGTCAAAAGTCACCACCACTTGATTCATCTAGTCAAGATGAATCAAATGGTAGCAAAAATCTTGCGAACCGTATCAACACATATGCTAAAAAGATTTCTTCCGTTGAGTGTATAAAATTATTTAACATAATTTAACACAGTAATAAAGTGTTTGTGTTATATTTAATGAGAACTTCTCTTCCATAATTGTTTGATATTTAAAAATTCAATAAATGTCATATAGAAAAATATTCGACAAAACTAATATCAATTTTCAATCAACCAAAATAGTGCTGAAATAAATTGATTTTAGATATTTTTGTCGAATATTTATCGTATAAGGGTTTTGTACACGATACATAAATCATATATGAATTTATGTATTAGAATGACCAAAAGTTCTCATAACTAAGGCACTTTGCTATAAAATCGATTTCATTTAGAAAAATAACAATCAACACCAAAGTTAAAAATAAACTTAAAAATAGTATTTCAGTGTTCATTCATTATATTATTTCGATATTACTCTGAGGAAAATTTTCATCAAATTAATGATGCGAAAAAGCTATCTCTTGAATATTAGACATTGTGTATATTGTTGCGGATTAGTAGTCAATAGGGGAATTGCAACTTTTGGAAAAAAACAACTTTTATAATATTTAGGTTTTCTAAAGCCTGTGCCAATATTTTTCTTTCCTAACAATGCTTAATCAATTAATATTTTATTCAATAGTTTTATTCAATAATTTTATTCATTATTTTATTTAATATTATGTTCATATTTTATCTAAATATATATCCATGACTTTGTACAATAAAAATATTCTATTCTACGAGCAAAAAAAGTATTTAAAGAATTGTCGCAAAGTATCAATAAAAGTTTGCTTAAAGGTCTAATTTTATAACTTTAAAGTTATGTACAACCTGCTCTTGTTTAGTTTTGACATTTGATCTAGAAAAGTGCTTGTGGCAAATGCATGGGATAATTTAAAACAACAATATTAAATGTGCAAACAACGCAGAGTGATATTATCGTATTACATATATTTAGTGCTACACTGCATCTCCAAAATTAAGGGATTAGGAAAATATAAAACAAAGAATTGATAAATAGATTACGTAAAACCGCGAAACAACGCGCGCATTATTTCGAGATAAAAGTCGATCTTCTGAATATGAAATTTTCAAAATAACGCCCATATGAGGCATCATTACATGTATAAAGTAGGTTTTTCTTTCAATCACATATTTCTATATAGAGTAATGACAAGCGATTATCTAAACATGAACGGTATAGAATCCAAGTTTTTCATTCGTTTACAGTATATCGATATGATCTATGTGGTTTTCAGTGCAATGTACGTACACGTGTCATACATCCACTGATAAGTGCGCCTCATTTCGGGCGTTATTTCGAGGCACGTATGCTATTTTTAGAGATTTTCGAAA